AAGAAGCTTATCATTGGTTTTTATATGTTATTTTTATATGTAATACGCAGTTGATCATATTAACATGTTAAATTGCGCAATACAAATAATAAACTGTTATTATTATTATTATTATTATTATTATTATTATTATCATTATTATCATTATTATTATTATTATTATGGCAGCGTAAACGTCATATTGCCTTCTACAACTAAACAGAGATGGGGCGCCTAACTAAAGAAAAAAACGTTAAAAGTCTTAAACAATATTATTCTCTATGTGACTTAATTTAAATGAACTTAAATGCATTGTGAACCTAAGTAGTCTATGCATATCTTAATAGGGATAGAAACACAATAACAAATTTTTTAGCCGAATGTCAGTTAGTCTCCCTCGCATCCGTTTTTAGTGTCGGTCGTCACGCAACGTTCCCTCCCCACAAGGGAGGGAGCGTTGCGTGACGACCGACACTAAAAACGGATGAGAGGGAGACTAAATGTCAGTTAACTGTAATAATTTTACGAGCGTTGGCCATAATGTTAATCACAATATGAAAACAATGACATTAAATCATGCCGATAGAGAATGAACTCGATTCCAGGAAACGCTAGGATACTGTAATCAATACTTCAAAGATTCCAAGAAAGGAAAACTGGTTTCGTTTAGGGAAATACCCTTTGAGTCATCACCTGTGCACCAATAATATTTCACCACGCGTTTAATGACTCTGCTAGGGGATTTTTTTTATTCCATAACATTCGACTTAAGTCGAGTAAGCAGCTTTTTAAAAGTCTCCTCAGCGTTATTCACAAAAGCAACTATCAAGCGTCTTACTGCAGTAAAGGTACGTACTGAGAAATCTTTAACTCAAAGCAGTTCAAATTAATAACACTGACTATATTTTAACTTTTAACTGAATATTAATTGAGTCGGAAGGTAATGTCAGTAGAAGGAAGCCGGAGTTTCTTGTGTACATATATTTTGCTGCATACTTGTTTTCAGTAAGTTCAACTTACAGTCAAACAAGCTCTAGCGTTGACCCCTAGACTCGATTAATGAAATCATTAGTCAATTATTCCTTTTACACGTACGAACCGGAATAATGCAATATTCAAATGAAAATTCAGTTCATTATTCGACTCGTGATGAAGAAGGTAAATTATCTAAATTACAGATACCTTCCAGCAGAAGTCGTTCTCTTATTTCATAAGCATACACACTAGGTTTTGGAATTTCCATGCCTCAATTACTTGGAGGATATCATCAATAATTTTGTAGGGAACGCTCCCGCCTTGAGCGAAATGGAGACACAGTTCCATGTCGTCGATAATGTTGAAGTATTTCCTGGACTCCCCCACTAGAAATTTTCAGTTGTCGCGAAATTGCTTTATTGAACAATCCGCTATTGCTGAGATTAACAATTTCCTGTCGAATAATATCAGGTGAAGGCCTTCCCGGCACATAAACACGGCCAAGACTATTTCTGGCCACCATGTTTTCTTGGTCTTCCGGCTCTGTTAGCACTGATTAACCAATCAAAATGTCGTATATGGAATTTAAAGTTGATTGGAATTTTCATATCTTCGTTTTTGACGTTGTAAACTTCAACTGAATAATGAAATCAAAATTCGAAAATTCAAATCATTAATCGACTCTAGGGGTCAACGCGTGAGCTTGTTTGACTGTAAGCCCCGTTTACACTAGCGATTTTTGCTGCGATGTTTTTGCGATTTTGTCCATAATAAATAATGGTAAAGAATGTACTTGTAAAGTTTTTGTCAGGATACCAAGATTTTCCTAGACGAATATCTCTCTTGAAGGATGAGACAAAAGATTTCATATTTCCGAAAATTGCCACAGACCAGCTAGACCAGCTAGCTCGGAGGTTGCTTCAAGGCTCGATAAGATTGCTTGTAATGCTTGATCAAACACTAGTAAACATTTCATTTTGAGAAAGTTCAACTGAATGTTCTAGAAATACAAACGTATTTACCACCAAGACGTACGGCTCAAAATAGCCGGACTCATTCTTTATTGTAGCTGTGTCGCCTGCATATCATATCAGCTCATATATATAGTTCTATTTATTCTAAAGGAATATTCAGTGCTTGACTTAGAATCTTATTGAAACTTGTAGATAATCAATTTGAAGCCAGTTCTCGATGGATTTTGAAGTTGATCGAATTCGAGGTCGTCCGTCGGGTAGACAAGACTGACGTTCTTCTCCACGACCCTCTCTTGGTGACAGTCCTGGACTTTGATAGACGTGCTCTGGATCAACTTGCACATGGGTTGTATTTGGCGGTCACTTATGCATATGATCACGCTCCAGGAATAAGCAAAAAAAGGTTCTTCGTAAATCAATCCGGGAAGCCTGTGAACCCATCGCAAAGCGAAGGAGGCAATGATGTTTATTGCCTCTTGAAACACATCCAAGAAAACGCCGAAACCTATTCGGAATTATTGAATAAAGACGAGGATGAAATTGAGGAAACATCCAAGTTCCTTCGAGAAAAGATAAGGAATGCAATGGCTCACCAGACGTACCTGAATTGTCCCGGTCTTTCTGATCCAAACAGCCATTCCAGTTGTGTCTTAGACAAGACACAAACTACCGAAAAATGTCTAGATGAGTGTGCCAAACTGCTGCAATGGGTTGTTTACGCTGATTTTTATCGAAATATCAGAGGGAAGGTAATTCTCTTGACTCAGGGATTTTCTTTTTTGCATATGTTAGATACTACGTACAAAATCAACCGAAGCTCCTCCGCATATAATTCCGAAAATTCATATTGATCTCTTTTGTTTTTTAGGTTACTAAAGTCCTTCAAAACATCAAGAACATGAAGAGTCCAGTTTTCGAGGATTTCAAGCAAGTAAAGCAATCTATTACAGCCAGGCAAGCAAACTACTTAAATACCCAGAAGGCTAAAGAACTCCTGCAAAATTTACTTCAAGAACTAGAAAACGAGGAGGATTGTGATGATACTACTGATGACCGCCCAGTAACACATCTAATCAACATGGTTTTGGCCCCCAGGATTAAAGTAACCAAGTACTAGGCAGTGCTCCCATCTACAATCGCTTTTCTAAATCCCCCGAAAAAAAGAAACAATTAAACAGCATAAAAAGGAAGCTAAAAACGCCGTATAAAAAGGCTTGGCATCATCACGTGATACAACCATGATCGTAGGCACAATAATAGATTCTTTCTCAGGGAAACCGAAATCCCTACCTTCTCATGTAAATCAGACTAGATTTCAATTTGGCTTATTTGAGCCAAATGAAAGGGTTACTTTGCATAAACAAATAGTTTTCATTTGTAGTGAAGATTAACAAGGTGCTGTATTTGTTTAATTTAGAGGCTTTGCACCATCATGTGATGGCAACCATGAGAGGAGCCACAACAATAGCCTTTTCCCCTGTATGGGAATACGGAATTCTTTCTCATTTAATCAGATTCAACGAGATTCAATTGTTCCTGCCTCCTGTCATGGCTGCCGTCACGTGATGGTGGAAAGCCTCTATTGAGCCAAATCGAAATGCTTCATGGGTCGTAACGAGCGAGTACCGAGTCTTTTGACCTTAGTCCTGATCGTCGGGTTGTAAAAACTTTTCCCTTCCAAATCCCAACCTCACGATCCAGTTCAGAATTTTATGTAGTCGTTCTTTTACAAGACAGGAATACGTCTTAAAGAAAAGATGTTGCCTTTGCAATGATATAGATTAGTACAAGATATAGTGATTATTCATAAGGCTGGAACGGCCAACATTTATTGCCTGGGGGTGGGGGTCGATCAGAGTATTTTTCTTATGACACTATAATGATTCTCTATTTTTATGATTTTTTATGACCCACCTGTACTAGTGGTTGCTACTTCCTCATTTCTGTGTGATCCCCCTCCCTTTGATGCTTGTCTTATTTCTCTCCTTTCCTTCGAGGGTTTTTCTCCCGCAAAAATCAAATTCTGAATTCTATAAATTTGATCTAGAAAGGACCTAGATGAAAATTACTCTGAGTAATTCTAGTTACCCTACCAAATTGTGTAGTTTCTTTTAAATGTGTAGCTGATTCAGTTGCCTCTAAAAACCATGTGATCCTTCTAAAGCCTTCCACTGCTTCCCCCCACCCCCCACCCCCTCCAAACACACCACAGGCGATAAACAATAACATGCAGTTCATATAAAGCTAGCTTAGTCTGAGACTGACTTCTAAGACTAATACCGGAAAAAGGCGAGATATCGTATATCGGATCAAGCCATTGGGATCAACAGAACATATTGCCTTACTGTTTGTGCGCCATATACGGGGGAAATTCATTGGACTGCCAGTACCAACCTTAATCAAATATGGATTTTTTAAAGCTTTCAAAGTTGGTTTCTGTGTTTTTTTTCTTTTGGTTTTTGTGTTCTTCTGGACGGCGGCAAGACGGGTTGGCTCACCCAGTAGATAATTTTGCAGATAAAAGCTTGAATGTTTCTGCTTCTCGTGTGTGTAAACCAGGTCCATCTTTAACAAATGCACCACAAACCAAAAAATGCCTCGTAATAGGAGATTCAGTGAGTATTGGGTAGGTATGACAAAATAGATCAATCTTACTAAGCATTAAGTTAACTCTTCTATCGTACGTAGTTTATAATTGAATTCTATTTTGGAGTGTTGAGTGCTACATGACATACTCGTGACAGTGAACGTCTCTCCCCAAACAATGCTGCCGATATCTATATATATTTATGGCAGCGTTATTATATATCTATATCTATATTAATATCTTTCTATCTATCTATATATATATGGGCTATATCGATATCTATCAAATTTGTATCTATTTATATTAATGTATACATACATACATATAGATAGATATATCTATATATATGATACTGACTGCGGTTTGCATTAACTTTGACCCTCTTGTATCAAAAGTATATATGATATATTTTTTTCGAGTTGCCTATCACTCGGGCTTCCTGAAAAGCTAATTTCGCATATAGAATGGCTTTTAAATCCTCCTTAATACTATACAGTGCAATACAATGCTTAACAATTATACCCCCGAAGGCGAAGTGAACATCGGGGAGTATTTACGGAGACGCGAGTCTTTGAGCGGCGAGAGTTCACTGAGGCTGAGGTAAATAATTGTTACAAAAAAAGAAAAAACAAAGATAAAAGACATTTCTTTCCGATAACAGCAACAAAGTGGCTGGCCGCTTGATTATCGCATCGCGTGATAGTGTGAGTTTCTAGACCAATCAGCGCGCGAAATTTTCAATAATCACTTGTGTATTTTTACTAAAATAGGATACAAATGCAATATTTACTTCCCAAATTAAATTTAGTTACATAGTTATAATACACTTAGATATCGCCATAGCAATAGCACACAACACGCATTGTATACACGGATACAAAAGCGTCCTGCCTTAAAGCGAATGGTATTTTCAGGTATAGAGAGAAGAAAAGCGGAAAATCTACTCCTTCAAAGTTAGRTATTGTATCGTCTCGAAGGGGGTTATACCGTTGACGATGGACCATAGTTACTAACTATGGATGGACTAAGAGACGGTGTGAATCTGCTTAATTTATTATCTTATCCTTTAAGATCTGATAGTAAAGCAGAAGTTCATAAATATCACTTCGTCCTGTCTCTGGTTCTTTCTATTGTCATGAGTCTACTTCGAAATAAAGCTTGATGAAGTGCGTGTATTACTTGAAGACGAATTCAGTTTGACATTGCTTTTTTTACGGAAACCTGGCTTAAAGTATCAGTGTACCCCTAGCGACCAAACCTTTTAATCGAAACCTCAACAAAGTATACATTTTCTGAAAGCTGAATAAATGTAGAAACTATTCCTTTTTCCTTTTTGTAAAATACATTTATCCTTTTAAGTTAGAGCGAATTATTCAAATTTTTACCGTGGCATCTTCGCGGAGTTCGATGACAGCCGGTAATGATCGGAAATCAATGCTTATTACCTTTCCGAGATCACAAGACATTACTTGTCAAAAGCGTGTCTCCGATTTTAGATTAGTTGCCCTGTTGCTTTTTTATATGCTCTTAAAGTTATGACGCTGCTATATCACCGGTATGCAAGCCAAAATCCACGATAACTTTGGAAATAAGCAAAAAATCAAAAATCGTAGACACACTTTTGAAGAACAACTATCCAAGATGACTTCCTCAAAATTTCAGTTAAATCGGTCAAATTCCCTTTGACATCGGACTCAAAATGTACGGGTAACTGAACGCAAAATTACTTCCGAGAAAAACGCAAAAATGCTTCTGACTGAGCGGAAGCGCCTTTGTTGCCGCATAAACCGTATTTTTTTTATTACTCGCTATTGAAGATCACTATCGAAATTTGGAAGGGTGGAGGGGGGGATCGAAGAATATTATATATTTAATCCCAAAATGTAAAAATCGATACTTTTGAGCAATTTTGGGGTACCCTGATACCTTTAAAGGAGATAGTTAGGGAAAGATAGAACTCACTCTTAACATGGAGGCGTATGGGTATTGTCGGAGTGGTCTACCATTCTCCAGCTAATGATGACCGGATAGAATGATCTTTTGGATACCTTGTCGAAGATTGAATGTGCTTTTCCTATAGCGCTGTATTATACTCACAAAAAGTTACGCAATCAATCAATCAATCAATCACTAAACAGGCGACTTCAATCAACTAAACACCTCTCAGTTAACCGGCGCCCAATTTCGATCTAAACTCACAATCAATTTTCCCGGTACTCGAGGCAAAAGAACTCTTGGCCTTTTAGCCTTTCTAATCACTGTACGATTACTGCCTTTCTAATTAATATTTTCGTACTAAAGACTGCTCTAGTTACAAAAACTGTTAATATCAGAAACTCGAAATCTAGTGCTAAACAAGCTTTTGGTCGCTACTTAAATACTTTTGACTGGTTTTCCTTGAATTTTTTTGACAACGTCGACGACAAATTTGTATCTTTTTCAAGAATTATTACAGCATTGGTTGGATACTATGCACATCTAAAAGCCCCATTTATTTATTCAATTACCACAATTTAAATTCAACAAAGCCTTAGTTACAAAGCATTTTGGTCTTAATATTCACTGGAGCTGTTGTAGGAGACGAAATAGAAGCCATCTTGCAATGCCAACTCTATCCAGTTTTTCCTCAACCCTATGAATGCCTAACACTCTTCCTTGCATGTATGTCTTATCAGGTACACACCGTGGTTAGAGACATCTTTACAAAACCTCTGTCAAGTATACCATGCCCCCTGGGACACAGCTGACGGTGGCGCACTGGACACGAAATACGCCGTCGAATGTCTTTCCCTTTTCCTTGCCAGTAATGTACTACAAAAAATCCAGTATGACGTAATCGTCTTTAATTTTGGCATACATGACGTCAACTATGATGGCTTTCCAGAAGAATTCACTGATGAAAAGATGTATCGAAAGAATCTGATTTCTATCAAGGAATCTTTACAAGCGACAGGTAGTAAGATGGGATATGTTTTGACCACCCCTATTCCTTATAATATCACTATTAATGATCGAGTCAAGAGATACAACACGGTGGCTAGACAAGTGATGGCTAGTGGACAACCAGTACCAACAGCTGATCTCTATAACTGGGTAGTTTTGGTGTGTGGAGAACCACCTTATAATAGCTGTGTGATTGCTGACAAGCAGCCCAGCCCTCATTACACGAGGCAGGGCTATAAGTACCTATCTGTCTTGGTAGAAGGCCTTTTTCGGGACCTGCAAATAGATATTAATCGAAATGGAACAGAATTTCTTACAGAACGAAAACATGGAATCAAAGCTCAAGTATCAAACCATATAAATCAGGTAGGAATCGACAAAGTGCTGTCTTATAATTGTACTACATTCTAAATGACGACTTCAAAAAATTTACGGCTTCTGTAAATGTAAAATAATAATAATAATAATAATAAATAAGTGGTGAGGATGAAGGGGGGGGGGGGTAGTGTGAGTCAAATGAGTGTTATTGCATTATTGTGGTGATGGTGTGATCTTGTGGTACGGGTGGTGGTGATGGGGTGGTGACGTGATGGGGTGGGGTGGTATTGTAATGAGGTGGTTGTGAGGTGATGGGAATGGAGTGGTGCGGGTGGTGGTGTGAATTCTGACTACATCATGGCTCTTTTTTTCCAGTTGATTAATAAGAAGCACCCAAACAAGGACACATCTTTTCTGTCGTGCAAAGACACAACAGGAAAGACCGTAACAAAATGCCCACAGACGATGACATGCAGTCCGTGTAAGTATTCCATGACTGGATGGGGCTGCTGCCCTTTGAGCAACGCGGTCTCGTGTAAAGATGGGAGGCATTGCTGTCCCGAGGGGTACGAGTGTGACCCGCTGTGCACTATCGAGCTGTGCTTCTGCATTAAAGAAGAAAACGACGACACCATCAACAAGATTTAAAAGTTTACTGCTGAAAACTTTATTATTAGTTATTCACACATAAATAATGCTGTCTTTTATGTCCTCCTCTATTATGTATTTATCTTTCCCGCTATATTACACCAGCCTCTGTTCCTCTACCTCTAGACATATCTCCATAATTGAATCCCCTTCTTTAACAAAGTAAATTCCTTGAACCTGTCAACTAGCTCCCAAGTTATCCACGCTAATGCTTTCTTTTACCTCTTCCTCTCTTATACCTGCCTTTCCATTTATATTTACCACCTTTATTCCTACCATTACCCCTGGATTTCCGCCTTGATTCGCTACCCTTATTGAAGAATGCGAACTGGTTGCTAAAGTCTACACAGCTACCACTGTCTTCACCAATCAACTTAAATGTCTTGACGGGAGAATCACCAATTTCGTCTGAATCCATTTCTATAGTCTGTTCTGATGAACCAGCTGTACCTTGCTTTACTGATGACCTCGACCTAGGAAAATATCAGTCATTATCAGTCATTATCATAGCGTCCCTTAACATAAAGCTGTGGTGACCCTTCTGCTAGAGCTGTTAGACTTTCTCATTGGTGGCGTGAATACCTTGCCATCAGAATAAAAGGACTAAAAAGACGAAGCCGCCATGTTGGTTGACACAAGACACATCGAAACCAAATCTTTTGTCAAAGTCAACCAAAATGGCGGCTATGATGTCACATGCACCCCAATAATTTTTTTTGCGTAGAAGGGAACGGACTAGTACAACCCGCCAGTTCATTGTATATCGGAATCTTGAATTTTGCGAAACATTTTGCCTAAACAAAAAAATGCAGATTTTTACGAAAAGCTTACAAAAGATCAACAGAAGATTATTTACCTGCTTCTAATGTCGGAATTGGCTGTATCGCACGAACCTTTTGGAAGGAAATTAAGAAAAATAATTCAATTAGCACTTAAATAATTAATGCACCAGTAAAAACTCGGGTAAATCTGAATGCTCATCAGGTAAATCGCAAGTTCTCAATAGAGATTTTAAGTATTCCAGGTCCAAAACGAAAACCAGTTCTATTTAAAAGCTCTTCTATAGTAGTAGTAGTAGTATTTTTTAGGCTGACAGCACGTTTGTCCCCAGTCATGTGTTTGACCGCCATTTGGAGCAAATGAGATTCAAAGACTTTTACCAGCTGATTGAAATACAGCAATACACTGTTTTCGCAAGGTTGAGTGCGCATCCAACTTGACGGGCCACAAAATTGAAAAACGCAAATTCAGTAAAATTGAGAAGACAGTTTTATATTTAGGGAGGAGAATAATCGATTTTATGAATTCTTATCGAAAATTTCATAGCACTGCATGATAATACTCGTGTTCTGATATCGTGGCCCGCCAAGTTCCTTGAATTTGGATGCGCAAGCAACCTTGAGAAAATGGTCTATAGTTAATTACCTTTTCCAGGAGTAACAAGAAATTCTCCTTTCTTTTCCAAACACGTGTCTGTGTGATTCTTGTAGTCTTCCTTAGGAATTTTCTTAAAGCAAATAAAGCAACTTTCAAAATCATCATTGTTGTCTTCGCTTTCCTCAGAGCTACTAATTCTTCTGTGTCGCCGCCTTGTCGATCTTTCATTTGGTTTGTTTTCAACTTTACGTTGTTTTATAGTCACGCCAGAGAGTTCCAGTAACGCCATCTCATTTTCGTAATCATCATTATCAAAATCACCTTCCGTTTTTTTCATCTTTTTCTTTGGGTTTTCTTGTCTCCGAGGTCGTAGAATGTCATTGATGCYTTTTTTATCTTCAAATTTTCGTTTCTTGGATTCCACTTTGACTCCATAAGTGGCAAGCATTTCAATATCGGATTTATCCGAGTCAGATTCTATATCACCATACTTATCACAAGGTATCATGTCCTTTTTTATTGCTGGACCAGTAGACGCACCCATCACTGTTACATCATTTGTAACACCTTTCCTTTTTTGCCTTTCAAGCATTTCACATTTTTCCACTTCATCGTCAGTACCCTTTATATCACCAACATCATAATCACCTGACGAAGGGTACTCTCCTAGGTGTAAATGGTCAAGAGTCGCGAATGGATTGGTACGTGGATCTGTTAGAATAAACAAAGTTGTAGTAACTTCATTTTCAAAACCTAAAGTTTGAAGCACTGACCAATGGCAAGAGAATATTAAGTAACTTACTTAATATTCTCTTGCCAATGGGAAGTGGAATGCTAAATTGAAGGTCTTCCTACCAACAATAAGCATTTATCTATTATTCGACTGAGCACAATATCGAATTCATTAGAGCAGTTTTACTTTTCTGCCGAGTCTCTGACAATTTCGAGACATGGGTTTGCACGAAAACAAGCGTTTGCCATACTAAAGATGCTTTAGAACTGATTCCAAATATGAAAAGGGATAAACCTTCTTTCAGCCCCGAAACTAAAAATCTTTATGGAGTTTTCCCAAAAATTCAATGGAACGGGCAATGATAGTATTGAAAAGCAAGGCAATGTTATTTAGTATTGCATCCTTTCCCCTTGATTTAAATTTTTGATTTAATGTTTTTGATGGAAAGCGCACTTCAAAAGTAACCCCATTGTCTAAATTATTTATCGACTAGAATGTTTTTATTCAACCCGCGAAAGAAAAATGACTATTTAGTTACGGTATGAGTTGATAAAAAACAAAAGGAAACAATGGATTTAGAGTCTACTACTAACTATTATGAATACTATTTCATCACGGGTAAAATATAATCACTCTAAGAAATTGATAGAGTGAAGTCATTAAACCCGTGAAATAGATATTAGACTAAGGCCTAGGGCAAACGTCGAACTTTCCATGCACCGAACTTAATTACATCAAAGAATGCCGCCTCATTATCACCTGATATCCATTGTTTTTAATGAGTTCGGTGCATGGAAAGTTCGACGTTTGCCCTAGACCTAATACACTTTAGTAGACCCTAATTCCATTGTTTTCTTTTGTGTCTTTTTGACTATTACACGTTGACTAGTATTTTTCATTTCACGGGTTAAATGCCTGCGCTCTATCTAAAATGAAATACAGAAGCCGCATAGACACACACCTACTTGCTTTTTCTTCTTCCCTCCATACGTCACCTTGAACTTATTCTTTCTTCGTTCCATTTGGCTGATGACGTAACATAATGACGTAATCAATCTCCAACATGTTGCAAATGGAAAAATGATTCCCACATAATAGAGTTATGCTCTTCTTTCAACTAATGTAGGAGCTTTGTACATGTGCTACTTTTAATGAATTTGCAGTCAAGCTAAAAAGAACCTGAACACTGATCGCGCCGTGGTTGAACAAACATTCTAGACTTCTTTTAGGTGTTTAGAGTTTGCTGCAATTCATTTAATACTCTTTCTAATTGCAATCGAAAGTAAATCTGGAATTCCATAAGAGTGTAAACCACGACTATTATTTGGATATCTTTTAATGTCCTTCATTGAAGAGCAGTATAACCTTGTAAAATGCTTCAATATTAAGTAGGAATTAAAAATGAAGGAAATCTAAAAGATTAGCCATAGCAAAAGAAAAAGGAAAGAAAATTAACCCGAAAAAGCATACACAAATCTTTCATTTTATTGACGGAGCAGAACGTTGGCTACAAGTTTTGGCGAGTAAATATATGAGCATGCTCATTTTCAATCTTTTTGACTACAAAAACGTCCTCTCATTTCGCTCCAAAAGAATCACAGTACAATAGTATAAAGTAATGCAATAAAGAAATGTTCAAAACCTTGCAGTGGTGGAGAACCAGTTGGCGGATGGCGAGTTTTCTTCCGACATTTCCTTCTCATCCATCAAGTCTTCTTTTTTTATCTCTGGATTATTTTCATCATCAATTGTAATGTCAATGAACTTTCTTGAACTTTTATTTTCACTTCCCTGGTTACTTGTACTACTAGCGCTTCTTGTAGTTTTATTCAAGCTTAAGTTTCGCCTTGCTTTAGGGCTTGGCTCGGTTTTTTGTTCAAGTAGTCTGCGGTGAGCTTCTGGAGATCTCGTCACCATTACTCGTAGATTCTTTAGCCCGAAGTCTTTATTTTTCGGTTCTTCGTTGTCAGCTGGTGAGCCAAAACTACCAAAAGTAAGAACAAAATAAATAAAAAATCTCAGTAGAAAATCCAAGCCATGCAAATAGATAACGATTCAAATCTGATAAGATATTTCACGCTTGCCATTCAAAAACCATAAAATTTCAACGTAAACCCATAAAAACAACAAATTAAACCAGAGAATGAACAAAGTTTTTATGGTAGATTCATAACCTTCCTAATGAGAAACTTTTTGATTTCACTATTATGATATTAATTGGGGTTCTTGAACTAAAATGAATGTGAAAATATGAAAATATTTCTCCTATTTTGGAACATAAATATTCTAGAGTTTAAAAATATTTCAAGAATCAGGTTTTCCTAAACTACCTTTTCTGAGACTCGCTACTCGTAGTTGGTTTTCTGGGAGAGAAAGAGGTTGGGTTGGATCTAGGTGTTATTTCATCACATGTAGCTGCATGGGCCTCGATGTCCTCCTTGTAGAACGTACAAAAACAAATAGGACATTCGACTCGACTGTCTAAAGAACTTGGGATGATTTCCTGTGATGGTTCTATACTGCTGGAGATGTCTGGTGAACTGGAACAGATGAACAAATTGAGTTATTCATGTGAGGACTGCTGTCTACGCGCATTCTATACTAGTGGTGATAACTAGTAGAGTACTAGCGTGGACTGCGTCTGTGTTTCTGAATAAAACAGCAGGAACTTGTGGATAAATTGAATCACCGTAAGAAGCTTTGTCAGAAACTGACGTTTCGGACGTTATTCCTTCGTCGGAGTATATGATATACTAGGAGAGTCTATCAGAGGATAGAAAAAGGATTTACATCGGAGTTATCAATGATCTACTAAACAACAAGAATCAGAACAAAAACAACAAACCTATAACCCAAGGGATGTTACCTTTGCAGAGAAGATGCCTTCAGCCTTTTTTCAGCAGCCTCAGCAGCACTCCTTGCAGCAGAAGACATCAACCTTTGTACTCTAGGGATTTCGGTAGGAGTTCTCTCCACTTTCAAATATCCAGACAATGTAGCGACATTCGTCAATGATGCACCAGGTTTGGAATCTCGAGCTTAAAGGAATGAAAACGACGATTTAATAACAATGTCATTTGACATTGCATCTCACTTTACATACGTATTTTCTGGGGAACGGTTTTAGTGTTGCACCATACAGTTGTTGTCGTGAAGGGATGGAATTAATACATTTTTCACGAAATCTATAATTGGCTAGGTTTCTTTTCATACCGGACGAAAAAAGCATATATATCGCAATGAGAGAAGAAAAGAGGGAGGGAGGGAGGGAGGGAGGGAGGAAGGAAGGAAGGGGGGCAGGGAGGAAGGAATGAAGGAAGGGAGGGAGGTTGGCAGGGAGGAAGGAATGAAGGAAGGGTGGCAGGGAGGAAGGAATGAAGGAAGGGGGGGTGGCAGGGAGGAAGGAATGAAGGAAGGGAGGGAGGGTGGCAGGGAGGAAGGAAGGAAGGAAGGAAGGGAGGGTGGCAGGGAGGAATGAACGAAGGAAGGGAGGGAGGGTGGCAGGGAGGAAGGAACGAAGGAAGGAAGGGAGGAAGGAAGAAAAGGAGTGTGGCAGGGAGGGAGGAAGGAAGCAAGCAAGCAAGTAAGAGAGGGAGGGATGAAGAAAAAGGTTATCAATAGTCAAACCTGTTGCAATGTGCAAGTCATGATCCCTTTCAACCACATCGTCATCTTCTACTTCGGTACAAAACATAGACAATGGACCACGCCTTTCCTCCTTTTCTTCGTCTTCTACATCGTCAAATAAAGCTTTCTTCGCATGCTTCTTAGATTTGTTCATTCCTATTTCGATACTACTGTCTATCTCTTCTTCTTCTTTATCAAATAACTCCGAAAACATTGTCTTCTGCTTCTCCATTTGTTTGACCTTAGTGACATCATCTTGCCCAATCCAAGATATTTCAGCATATTCGTCGTTAGTTTTGGTTTTAGACTCTAAATCAACACCTCTCTGTGTATTTGGTGAATTTTCCAGTCTTTCGTTTATTTTTAGTTTCTTTCCATCTATGCATTCAACATCATTTTTATCTAACTCGTTTTGCTTCGTTGCTGCAACATTTTTTGACATATCTTGAAAACCAGTAAACGAACTCGAAGCAGCATTCGTAGCTAACGGAACACTCTTAACAGTAYTTGCATCGACAGATTTGTCCTCATACTCTGTAGATGTTACAACATTTTCTCCAAAAATTTCGGATTCCTTGGTGAAGAGATACTCCTTCCATGGCTTGGGTTTTGAAGTTGGTTCTCCAAAGACAGGTTTTGTCAAATCATCATCGCTCTCATCACTATCAAGGTAATCTTTTCTTACCTTACTGGAGTCTTCTCTAGTTGATATCGTAACTGGTTCACTCTTGATAGGTGGGGCTACAGTAGATGTCTGGGCACTACGAAGGGTTCTTCTTCTTTCACTAGATGGCRCTTCTGAAACAGAAAATTAAGCAATTGAATAAGTTTTGTTCTGAGGTTTTTTTCAATCATTTATCTCCTAGTCATGAAGAAATCCAGGAAAAAATCGAATAAATAAAAACTACGATAATCAAAACTGTGCCTTTACACGTACCAAGATATGAAATTGCAGATGTCGATGCCACATTCACATCACTTTTCTTCTTCTCCTTCCTGGCATCCAAAGAGTTAGTCTCTCTTGGGCCTACTATGATAGGTTTTCCCCACTTTATAAAGGTCAAGCTCTTTCTTTGCGCCCTTAAGATACGTTTTCTCGTGTGGTCCATCATTCTCATGATGGCATAGGTGTAGGTTTTGGGGTCAATGCCTGGTGGCGCAAAGTAGAGCCTTGCTTTCATGGCCTCCTTGATAGTCTTGATGGACAGTCTAGGTGTACTGTAGGCACGTTCAAGTCTGGTGGTGCTAGACTGAGTTACAATTAAAACATTCAAAAAACAATTAAAAACAAAAAAACAACAACAAATGAATGAATAAATAAGCGAATAATTGTAAATAAAAAATACTCTAAGTTGCTCAAAAAAGGCATTACCCACCTTTTTCATTTTTGGAGAAGGGTCATTTCTAGATTTAAAAATATATATATATATATTTAAATTTTTCACTTTATTTATTTATTAAAATAAACTAGAATATGTATGTAATTAAGGTGATAATAGGTCGCTGTAGTTTCATAGGCTTGCTATCATTCCTTTTATGATACGCTTTACAACTAGTGAATAAAAACCCTACTTCCACAGAGTCCTACCCAGTCGTCACTCATTCTTGTTTAGTTCGTGTGCGCAAAGACTTTTGAGAAGGAGAGAAAACGTTCCCTTGATGCATCGCGAACTTACTAAATCCTTCCCATCAACCACAGCGCGATATCAATAAGACAAGACAAGGGACTGGGTACGAGTCTGCTACTTCCATGCTTTCCATGAAGTAATATCTATTCACTGAACTGTAAAAATCATCTAATCTCTGACCAAGGTGACCTAATTGTTAATTAGATGGAATTTTGAAGTAGTTTTTTAGGATTTCTAATCATTAGGCATTTGTTGCTTCTATCTTATAGATCATTTTTCTCTCATTTAGTAGCTGTTGCTTTACCTTTTATTTACTTTTCCATCATCCTCCATGCTGCCTTCTGCGTCATCATCATCATTATCATTATCATCATCATCCCCGACAACAACGTGAAGAGGGTCCAAGGTTCTACTCTTTTGCCTGTCATTTTTCCCCCCATGCTTCACATTTAATACTTGTTCAATTGTTTTCTGTTTCTTTTTTGGATCCTTTATAACACATTCTCTCCCAGTATCCTCTGTCCCATCATCTTCATCATCTAAGATGTATTTTCGTTTCTTTGATTCCACTGTTGAATCATTCTCACTTTGGTCAGTTGATTTGAATTTACTTTTATTCTCGGCCTCCTTTTCTTGATCTTTTGAAGGTTCCTTTTTCTTTAACTTGAGTTTACTCTTAGTGTTACTGTCAAATTGTCTTTAAAGAGAATATTGTTGCAAGAATGCATGAAGGAACTTCAGGAAACTTGAAAAATTATACTTATCTATTAACCCCTTCAAATCTTATTGATACCCTTAAAAACAACCTCTGAGCTGATGAAAACCAAGGCATGGCTAACTCACAGTTCAAATCCTGAACCAACCTCTGGGCTGGTCTAAGTCAGGGTATAAACATTGAAACAATCTAATTACTGATCAAGGTAGGGCACCCCTGTCCTAGGGAAAATTCATTCACCAGCAAAAGCGACAGAACACAATAAAAGACAGTACAAAATGCTTTTATTGATCAAATACATATTGCATTTTTTTGTTGTATCCAAGTGGTTAGCCTATGCACAGATTGAATTGGAATTTAGCATTAATTGATGATAGTTTTGGCAAAATGAAGAAAACCTGAGAACCTGAGAAAAAACCCTTGAATCAAGGGAAAAAAACGAAAATGTCAACTTTTTATTATATCACTTTCTTACCTCTTTATTGGAGTAAGATTTATGACCATGTCTTTGTCCAATCTAGACTTCAAGTCATCAGATGAAAAACTTTTGAATGGACTTTTGGAAGGGCTACGAGCTTTATCAGGTATATTTTCTGGCTAAAATGATCGAAATTGTAACACAATTTGTTTTAGAACTTGAATTAAATTAAGTGAATAGATTGATAATAGAAAGAATTAAGTGAATATTGAATTACGGACAGATGGACAGATGGACGGATGGACGGATGGGTGGATGGATGGAGGAAGGATAGATGGATGGATGGATGGATGGATGGATGGATGGATGGATGGATGGATGGATGGATGGATGGATGGATGGATGRATGAAAGGTAAATAAATAATTGAAGAATAAATGAATAGCAATGAAAAAGAAAAAGAAAGAAAGAAATACCTCTTCCTTGTCATTGCTTGGTGTACCAAACAAGTCAGGAGATTCCGCTCTATCCATTTGCTGCTTTTCCACACCAGAGTTTGCAGGAGAGCTTTGGACTTAAGTCAGAAAATAGATTTTCCATTACTGTAAATTCTTTTTTCATTATTTCCTACACTGTATTTGAATATTTTGTTAAAATGGAAGGAGAGAAATTGCACTGTACATGTATGTTATTTAAATGTTGATGTCAAATGCTTTTAAATGGTGTAACAAATGTCCACAATACAGCAGCTTTTGTATGAGTGRGAAACAACACTGCGAAATTTGTAGTACTGTAGCTTATTATATTTTACTCTAGCTGTAACTAGATGAATTACTGGAAAACAATGGGAAGCCATAATAAGATTTCAATGTTACAACAAGCACTGTGAATATGCAGTGAGTCAGTATCATAAGTTTCCCACTCATATGAAAACTGCTAAGCAGTAACTTAACCTTATTTTTTACTCTTACCTGTTAAATAATCTTGAGTTTCATCCTCTGAATCTGCTTTATTGTCTTTAGCTCTGCCAGATTTATCTGGCTCTGATTCTGAAATTAAATTCTGAAAAACAAATCCATCAAACTTTAAATGATTCAAAAGCATTCTTAAGTTTTTTAAATTTGACTTCAACTAAAAAACCTGTAGAACACACATTATAAATTTACTATAAAAACCAATTATTCATGAGTTGGGTTACCTGTGGTCTCCATTCCACAGGGAGCCCATCCTAAATCCCAATATCTAGAAGTAATTGCAATTATTGCTCATACCACACTTTTTGTAGCAGACGTAGCTCTTCGTTTATCTTCAACTTCCATCTGCAGCTTACTCTGCCTTATTGCTTCCTGTTATAAATAGCTAACTATTAATATTTCTGTCAATTATCATTCCACTTGTTTGAGTCAAAAGCATTAGAAGTTTGAAAAAATAAAATTAGGTTATTATTAGTAATCAAATTTCTGCAGCTTCTTTTAAGCAGGTATTCAATGTATGTCTGAGTTAAAATACATGTACATCTACCAGTCATTATATCCACCTATTATATGTTTCCCATTAGTGTTTTTCTCAGCCTCCAGTAATTCAGTTCATACTATGCACATCAGATAATAATATAATATAGCATATCTTAAAAGACAGTACCTTCATCTGTCTCTTTTCATCTTCATCCATCCCTAGTAAAAATGACTGGTGTAAGTTCATATATATCTAAGATGGATACAATGTTTTATAAACAATGAAATAATACTTAAGCAGATAAAGATCCAAAAAGAGACTCTACTTGTGTATGTTTGTAATTCCAGGGATAATTGAATCATATTCCTGAGCAATGAGAACTGCCATCTTAGCAGCACGCAACCTACAGTATGCTTCCTCATCTATGTACTGTACTTCAAAGAACTGGATGGACAGGTAAAACTAAACAAACCTTTCATTTCATCGAGATCATCATCACTATCTTCAAAAATCAAGTGCTTCTTCCTTCTTTTAACTAGAATTGGCTGCAATTCTTCCTCAGCAAATGCAAACTGAAAATACACATCAGAAAGCCATGTATCTCTTGTTAACATTCTTTCATACTACATTAATGTTAGCTGTGCCCTAACTTTGATAGGCCCAGGATGTTTCAGGGTATTGATAAAATTGGAAAGCATACCTGTATATGTATGTACATGCGTGAAATGGAAAATCTGGGGAAATTAAGGTATGGCTAATACTTGACCAAAAAAAGCTGTCGTCAATGAAAAATTTTAGTGGTATAATAAAAATAATGCAAATCCTAGAAGGTGAAGGGGATTACGTTTATGCTGTACTTCTTGTACTTCTCATCATAAATCAGCTTCAGTTTCCAAGTTTATTTGCTTCAGCTCAGATCATAAAATTATGAAATATACTTTAATATTTTCCTAAGACTCAGGTCTGTTGATATTCGATTCATTCATTGTTTTTGTGAAACAAGAATTTCACAAACATACTGCAAAAAATCACAATCCCACCTCACTTGATTATTTGTCAAACAGAAATACAATCTTCAAGTATTTGATAAATACTTTATTTAATAGTACAACTGTAATACCTGATCAGTGAGGTCTTGCACTTCATCATCATCATCTATCTCGACTAACTCCTCTTTTGATCTTCTGTGGACAAACTGAGATATATCCTGAGTATTGCTCTCTCGAGGAACATTTTGGCTCTTCCTACCGGTACCACGGCGATTGGTATTCATCCTAAGAATAGAGGAGTACGTCTAGTCAATGAAAGAAGTATTAAATAAGCCTATTTTTCTTCCCTCTTCAGGTTCATATTTCATGACTAACTTTTAAACTTTYGAGAGCCGTTTCTTGCTCGTATTTTACCTAATGTCTAATCCATCAGGCCAAGAATGAACCTAATAGCACTATTTGCTACATGAAGCAGCTACAATAGTAGAATCAATCCAATATTTCCAGTACAAAGAAGATAAAGAAGAGTAAGTTGCACCAACTTGAAGAGAAAACAGCGCCAAAGAGACTTTTTGGTGAGCATAACATTATTTTCTAGGGATAGGAACGCCTGTCGATATTTGGAGAGAGCATGATTTGAAGTGTCGTGGTCGGATTTGAAGAATGTTGTAGACCTAAAATATGAGATATCAATGGATTGCTAAGATAAAAGAAAGAACAAGAAGGATGTATACCTTATGGAGCTATTATAGCAACCTGTGGGTGTAAGTATTATTATCTTGACACTTTAAAAATAGTTTTTCTTTGCTTTTCCGACCTATGTATTCTGGTCACTTTACTTCAACACAGTATGCTAAATATATTTTTTAAATATAAAATCAAGCCCCTTTGTGTTAATTTGAAATTTTCTGGGCTAAGTGAAAAAAAAATCAATAATATCGCTATTTCCCACACAAAATTTTTTTTATAATTGTCATACTATCTTAATGTTTTTTTATTGTCAAGATGTCGTTTTTGCTGCTATTGTTAATTGGTCAACAACAACAGCAACAACAACTTTATTGTACCACTCTTATCATGATTTTTGTACTTTTTATTTAACTAAGATACAATACTCAAAAGCGATTTGATGCTATCTGGAATGGCAAGCCAAGGGAAACTGCGAGTGTCCCATTCATGGTAAACAATTTCTAATTTCTTATATATGTATCAAATAATATGGAAAAAATGATGGGATATTTTTGTTTTCAGATTACAGCAAAAATGAGAAAATCTCTCACCTCCCTTGGCTACGAAGAAAGAGATGTCAGATCTATGACACCTCAAGATGCTTGTAATATTATCAAAAACCAAACCAAAAAATCATAAACTGAAAATAGGACCAAAAAGGAAAAAGATGTCAGATCTACTATGACACCTCAAGATGCTTGTAATATCATCAAAAACGAAACCAAAAAATCATAAACTGAAAATTGGAGCAAAATTTCAGGGATAAAATTGAAACTTTACTTTTAGGCTCACCTAGTTTCCTCAGCAGACATTTTTTGTGTTGGTCCAAAAGCTCAAGACTAAAGCATGGTTTTCACTAGCAATGCAAGCACAAGCACAAGCATAAGAAGAATTATTTCATTGTGAAAACTGACTAACGCAAGCATGAGCACAAGCTCAAGGATCAATTTTTTTTATTGCGCTTGCGCTTATGCTGCACCTGAAAACAAAACAATACAAGAGCAACAGTGGCAGAGATGTGGTGGAGACGCGATGGATTATTAATACATGTCATGTGACCAATCTGACCAATCACAACAGCACAGAAGGGGCATAGCACTAGTTGCACTTGTACTTATTTCATGACTTGTTTTCACTGAAATAAGTCCTCTTATGCTTGTACTTGTGCTTGCCTCGCTAGTGAAAACCAGGCTTAAGGCTCACCAGSCTCAGTTACCATGGTACCTCAATCGATTTACCACCACAGGCATCCCATTCACTCATRTATTGAGCCTGGTCAGCCTGTGGATAATATGCCTATGTATAATTGTATTCAGCCAAGTATACTGAAAACATAAATAATAGATTTTATTTCATTTCATTTGCTTTCATTTGTTGTATGCTCAACRAAATCCCAGAGACTCTGGAAAACCTAGAATTTCAAGAGCTGTATGACATGTGGTTTGTCACAAATAATTAGGAGTCAGTCATGGTTAATCATGGTCAATCACAGTCAAGCATAGTCAAGCATAGTCAAGCATAGTCAAGCATAGTCAAGCATAGACCATCATAATCAAGAATAGACAAACATTGTGATATATGCACAAACACAGGGCAACATTTAGTCTCCTACGCAGCTGCTGTTAGTGTCGTCATGCAACGCTCACTCCCCGTAGCCACAACATCCCCACCCATTGATAATAATCATGGCTACATGCATGGCTTAATTTCTTAACCAAAACAAATGGGTATTGATTTAAAGTATTCCATAGTTTTGTAAAGAAACCGCAAGCAACTCTCCTCTGCTTAATAGATTTACGTGTTTTTTCTCAGCATAGAATGACAAAGGATACACAGGTAACCCAATAAAAAAATTTCCAWGAAAACAATGTATGTAATTGAGCCCAAAACCGCAAGCCAATAGAGACGCGGGCACATACCTGAGCCCGCAATCCTTGTTAGCCATTGCCGTGACGTCACGATCAACACTCGCTGTGTTTTCTCTGCCATTAGAGAAAAATTATGTTCTACAAAATCGCAAAATGTCAAGGCTTCTCGTTTCTTGATCTCTACTAGATTAATCAAAAACGAAATGTCTGACTCTGAGGACGAATCTTCACCAGATCATCAGTTGAAGTTTGTTCTTATCGGCGATGGTGCATCGGGGAAAGTGAGTGGTTTGCCGCTTTTTTAGAAAGCAAACTTCATTCAAGTGTCCTTGATTTTTCTTTCCTTCCAAAATCTGCGACAAGAAAGTAGAAATCTCTTATTTTCTTTCTACGTTTTATCGCTTGCAGACGTCGATATGTATTCGGTACACTCAAGAAAACTTCGAAAAAACCTACAAACAAACTTTGGGACTTGATTTTTTCCTCAAACGAATTGTTATGCCAGGTTGGTGAAGATTACTCTTATCATATGTCAAAACTAACAACTTATATGCGTTATGATTATTGAATATTTCGTCTAAAATAACGTTTGTATTCTTTGATTAGGGAATGTAAATGTAACGATACAAGTTTGGGATATCGGGGGACAAACGCTTGGTGGACAAATGATAGATAAATATATCTATGGCGCTAATGTAAGTTTGTATAATTATGTACATGTCTGTTTAGTACAGTTTCTGTGATATGGAATCTATATACTTAGAGTTATTGATGGTAGCACAGTTAATAGTTAACATAATTAACTATGACCTAGATCTTTCGTTAATAACCTTCAACCCCAAGGGCTATAATAATGATAATACAGACAAACATTGTGGCTAAAAAATAGCAAGACTGTGTGTGTGTGTACTTTTAGGGAACTAGTGCATTTAGGAAAATGATTATGAAAAATAGTGAGAAAGAGAATGAATAATGAGAAAAAAAGATGGAAAGAAAGCATGAGCAATAATGAAGGAAACAGAGAACCATGTCACAAAGAAACAACCAAAAAGGATTGGCTTTTATATAAGATATTTATTTCATTTGTCATTCCCATTTGGCAAAAAAAAAAAAAAAAATCCCCCTAATCATTGTAGTAGGCCAAAAGAACAGAACATTGCACTTTGACCATTTGAACTTGATAGTCAAGTTGACATTGTCCATAAGGGAAATCAAATATTGACCTTGACCATGTGAACTTGAAACAAGCACCTTCTCAAACCATTAATATAAGGGTCACATTAGTGAAACCTCTAAATAATAGCATAGAGATAGTGGACTTTACTCAAAGGTATCATGGATGTRAGGCTAACATGAAAMTACAGAAGAAATCACATTTTTTGATGAAATTTGTGGCATTTCTTTTGTATTTCCATGTTAGCCTTGCATTCAAGACAATTTTGGGAATGGTCCATTTGCTTATCAGACTAAAATATGCAAAGTGTGAACAGGTTTCTCAATAGCTTGCTTTATTTGTTAATGACACCCATACATATAGCTAGCAATATTATTTCTTTGGCTCTTCTGGGATAAGCCACCATCCAAATAAAGTATATGCAGACATATAATTATTACCTAAAATCCAATTATCGCTGTTTATTTATAAATATTAATTTTCAGGCTGTTCTGCTTGTTTATGATATCACCAATCAGAGTAGTTTTGATAACTTAGAAGACTGGTATGAGACTGCRAAGTCTGTTTGTGAAAAAAATGGCTCAAAAATGCCTCACATGGCTTTGATAGCMAATAAGAGTAAGTATTGTATTTTCACTAAATAAGACAAATAAAATAAATTGCTGTGTTTCAATTGATATTGCTGACTATTTCCTGTCTTGTGCAGAAATATCCATCTGCCAAATCAAAAGTTTGCAATGCAAAATCTTTTTTGTTGACTGCAAAGGTTGGTCATTGTTTGACCACTTTATGTAAATTTAAGATAAATGAGATTCAGACTCTTATCAGACAGTTGAAACCTGGCAAGTGTTCTTGTTTATACAATGGTAACAACATGGGAGTAGAAAAGAGAATAAGAATTTGTTTATTCATGAATTTTTAGTGGACTTGGAGCACATGCGCGTAGTCAAACCAGATAGACACAGTAGGTTTGCCCAAGAACATGGACTTTCAAGGTATGTTAGCTTGTTACATATCCAAATTTGATTATAATAACCACAAAAAAATAGCTCCAAGTAGAGGTTATGGATAAAATACAGTSAATATATGAGAAACACCACTGACTTGAAGCTATTGTTTTGTGTTATGTTACTGGCACGGATATATGGGTCCTAACCTTTTTATGATTTTCCTTTTGTACCTTCCATGTATTATTTTGAATATCAAACAAAGGTTAATATATCCCCTACTTTTTCTTTTGGTTGAATGCTCATTACTGTAGTTTTGCTTGATATTTTATTTAATAAAATTCAATCAAAAAAGTACAATGTACATACAAGTTTATTATAAGGCCTTAACAGGTAATTTTTCTGGTGTTTCTTTTCAGTCATTTTTTATCAGCAAAAACTTCAGATCAGGTAATTAAAAGGYTGATAAAATGTGAATAACCTCCTTAACAGCCAAATGATCAACTTCCTTTTTTCTGTTTATTTTTTCTGTTGTAAATTTTATAATGTGTATTTTAAGGGTTTGTTACGAAATAATTCAACATATGTGTTACATGACATAATTGCATTGTTGCAAGCTGCAGAGCAAAATATAGCTTGTATTTCTTGTACTAGCTTTACCATTTTAGGGTAGTTATGTTAGTGGTTGAAGTTCCTTAGGAATTTTGAAGTGGGTTTCCTTGATGTATTTTCTCCTTTTATCCTACTAGGTAAATTTGTGTTTTCAAAAGATTGTAGCAGAGGTTCTCGGTATCAGACTAACCAAAAATGAAATGGAGCAACAATCTGTATCCTTTTATATCAATTTTTTTGTAAGATACTTTAATTGGTTAACCATTTTATGGGAATCAAGGGGTGCAGTATTAACAGTTCCAATACCTGTCACCTCTGGGGTATCAGGTTTCAGTCTCGGACTTAGCACCAACTGTGCACATGTAGTCTAACTTTGTTGGGTCTTGATCTCCTTTGAAATCAAGGGTTTTTCTCCAGTTGTCCTCCTTGCTGCAAGAGTTTTTTTCATGTATTTTTTGTTGTTGTTAAAACACACTACAGTAAATCTCAATGTTTCCATACTGTAATTTAGCCTTTCTTGACAATGGGTCAGTCTCAATGTTTTCTTTTTTCTTTCATGTCACTTTGTAGTTCCTGTTGCCAAGAAATTATAGTTTTCCTTAACTCATTACTATCAGAAAGTGCTTAAAGCTGAAGTCATACAGTACAACAACCAYGAGGTGCCATCAAGGGCTGCTCCTGTACAGAACAAGAGTTCTTTTTGCTCAATACAATAGCACTGACTTCAGTTCCTATGTACATATTAGATGACATTATTGATAGTTATTGAAATAATATTTTTTTCTTTAAAAACATGTCCTGTCTTCTACATTTCTTGTTATAAATCCCAATATAACAAGATGGCAAGATAACAGGACCCTTGCAATAACAGTGTTATCATATTTGTAACATACAATCCTCATGCAGTTTTTGTCAAGGTTTGTTTTGTTTTGTTTAGCCTGGCTTCCAAATACTGTCTCATACTGTTCTCAAGCCACACCCTCTTCTCTGRGTTACTGAACTGACAAGGCCTTCAGCATAGCTCTTGTTCCCCAGTATGRCAGATGGCTAAAAAAATCTTGACATTTCATTTCATGGTGTACAATAATTTATAACATACATGTGCAGTACCCCTTTTGTTATTCATTATGCACGTTCAATCCTCATCCATTTAAAATGCCCTGTCTTTGAGCAGAGTGCACTGGCTCTTCCAGGAATTAACACCTAAACCCCTTATTTTCACGGACACGGGGGCTCGGGGAGCTTTAGCCCCTCCACTTTTTTTAGAATTACATATTCTATTTTTGTCAAATTTTTGGGTGTACAGGGGAATGGACTACAGCCCCCCCCCCCCTTAAAGCCTGTTTCATCGTCCCTGAATATTTGAATTTGGACTGGATCTTCTACAGTGTGTTTGTGTGAGAATGATTTACCCTTAAAAAGAAGCAAAATGACATTTCCTGAAATGAGGGGTTTTAGATTTAGTTGAAAGAAGATTTTACTATTTGTAAAATTGCAAGCCTTGTTATCRTAATGGATCAATGAAAATTTAAGAAGTATTATAATTATTATGCGTTCATGCAGCTTCATGTGTTTTGTCTACTGAATACAGCTATTTCAAAAAAGGTTGAATACTGAATACTGCATGGTGAATAGTGCATTCCAAGACCAAAGGGCATTGTGGGTCTTGTTAATTTGAAATCAAAAGTAAATATACAGCAATTAACTCTACATGTARTTAGTATATYGTGTCAGATGGAATACACTAAAAATAGGATAAATAATTCTTCTTCTTCTTACTTTAGACAATATCACTGACCCACAATGCACTTTGGTCTTGGAATGCACTATTTAGTATGCAGTATAAAAACGTTTTTGAAATAGCTGTATATAGGCATTTAGCATATACCAACTTGTGTACTTCCTAAGAACACGCACACTCATTGGTTAATTGGGGGTGAAAATTGTACGATATTCCTCTGAATCTTGAGTTGGCAACAAAATGGCATCTGCCGGCAATCGTTTTGCTACAATTTCCAATGAGGAAATTGAAAAAATGAAAGTATATGCCATTCCTATCAAAAGGCAACGAAGTATGGCCTTAAAGTTTTGCATGAATTTGTCACGCAAACTGCAAGTTTCTGTTTGTTTGTTTTTATTGAATTATTGTATATAAAAAGAAGTTACTCTGTACACAAGTTGGTATATGCTAAAACCATTATTCATAGGCTCAGTGAATATGGAGAATATTTACCTCGCGGCTCGAAGGCTCGCGTTTCCGTAAATATTCCCCAATATTCACTTCGCCTTTGGCGAATAATTGCTAAATATATCTCAAATTATGTGCAGAGCCTTAAAATATATTAAAATTTAAATTAAAATGTTTACTCAAAAATACATGAAATGCCTTGTTTAAAGCCTCTTATTCTCCTGTTATCACAAAACTTTCCAACTTGRCAGGACTGAAATCTTGATTATCCCAGGATATTGGGACTTTAAATTTTTCTTATAGATTTGTTTTACTTCTTCCTGCTGTGGTACATACCGTAGGTCTAAAGACAACTGGCCACATCCAACTAATAACAGTGGAACTACTGTAACCAACGTTAGATAAAATTAAGAGAACCAATTAAAATGTACTGAAATGAAAAAATGCCTTCCAACTTTGGGCGTGGAGTCAGCTCAACTCGGGCTGTACGAATAGTAATTTGACCATGATTTTTCATGTCGCACAATTTTGTTCAAATTTCATGTACTAGGGTACCAAAATCTAAATGCATCTTAAGACYTTTGCTTTACTACTAAGACAAATTTATTAACATGAATAAAGTTAATATTAGTTACTACAAAACCACACCTGTCTACTGATATTGTACAYATTATATTATAAATTTACATCAGCATATATCAAATAATGTTCATCTTGGGTTTTACATCTAAGTGCTGTTTTACTGAAAATCTTCAATCTTTTGAGCTAACTCTTGATCTTTTGGAGGGAAGACAAACTTCCCTACTGCCCTCACTACTAGGTGAGTAACATCGTCTTTTTTTGATTGGACGTTTTGATCTATCCCTAGTAGGCATGCCGTCACTGGACTCCTTATCTGCCTGTTCCTCCTGCTGCTGCTTTGRTCTGTCCTGCTTTAAATCCCTTCTCTGTCTGTTTTCTGTTTCACTGCGGTCTTTCCTTGGCCTCCCTCTCTTGCGCTTTGTTGTTGTGTCTGCGGTTGAAGTACCACTTTTCTGCATTTGAGATTGCAYTTTGGTGCCTTTTGATTTGCTTCTGTTCATATTTTTTCTTTCTCTAGTTGATTCACCTTTTCCACTACCAGGTGAATGATCCCATTTCCTTTTTGATTCTCCTTTTGACTGACTTGTTCCTCTTTTAGTCCCTTTTCTGGCGTCATCATCATCATCACTGTGATAAGAATCAGAGCTAATTTCTCCATCAAAAGRTGACAAATCACTTGTGTGGACAGAACTTACATCAGAGACGTCTGATTCAATGTCTGATTCTAAATCTTCTGGCAAACTATGTTTATTTGCCATGTCTTTAACATCATCATCACCAGATGATGCCACACTCGTTCTACTTAGCTCGACCTGGGGTTCTAGTAAAGGTGGATCTTTGGTTGTCTTTTCCTGGAGGTCTTTTTTAAGGTGGGTCTCAACAGAAGGCTTTTCTTCAACTTGTGCTTCCACTTCAACAGGCTTTATGCTCTCTTGCACAGGTTTGCTACTATCAATATACTTGTCTTCCACTTTTTGCCTTGCATGAAGTCCAACAACTACTTCACTGCATTTACTCTTCTCATGAAGTCCCTTGCTCACGTTACTTAAGGGGGATGTTCTGTGAATATCAGCTTTCAAAGAAGCCASATTTTCTGGCATTCTTGTTACTGGTTTTTCAATATCAGTGCTATCTCTAGGGCTTTCAACCTTAKGGGAGTGGCTCTTAGGTGAGCTGCTTGGCTTACCATGAATGGTTTTCGTTCTGGCATTTATGCTTGAGTCTGCAGTTTTTTCAGAGGCATTGCCTGTGCTTTGAGAAATAGTCGTCTTAGGYGTCACACGCTTACTGGGGTTAATTTTCTTAGCACCCATAATCGTTTTAGAAGAGGGTGTGCTTTTGGGAACATCAATTGGTGAACTATCTCCTTTTCTTTCAAACCTGCTAGATTCACTCTTAGGGAGRCTTCCAGCAGCTTGTTGTTTAGAAAAACTGGAGTCACTTCTGTGATGCATAGAAGTGCTTGGATGCACTGCTTCCTTGGATTCACTTTTCGTAAGGGCACTCCCTTCAATCTTGGTTGTTGGAGGACTTTCTTTAGGTCCAGAGATCTGACTGATGATATCATCAATATCAGAAATAGTTTCCGAGGTTTTCCCAGTAGTTGAAGTTTTAACAGCTTCAYTTTTATCAAATGCTCTTGAAGGTTCTGATCTGTTTTGATATCTGGAATGTTGTGGTTTTTCCTTTTCCATGTATATATAGTTCTGTACAACACCCTCTAGTCTAGTTTGAAATGATTTGCTCTTCTTTTCCAATACTTGACTGACTAGCCTTTGTGCACCACTCTTTAGGGCATCAGACCTGGAGAAATGAAATCGGCACATTTTAAATCAAATATCCTGGGTCATAGCTAAAATGTACAGTGGCGGATCCATGACTTTAAGAGGGGGGGTTCATTTTTGCAAATCTCGGCACAACAATAAAGTTCTCTTGCATCATCATTTTTCCCATGAGGCACATCACTGGCCTAGGGGGGCTCCTGATAAGGATAACCTATCCACCAGTCCAGGCCCGATTATTGTGGGCAAAGGTGCTAATTTTCAAAAAGCGGACCTACCATACTTTATTTATTTATTTAAAAAAATATAAAAAATCCAAGGTACCAGCCGGTGATGGGGGGGGGGGGGGGGTTCATTTGCACCCAATGAACCCCCCCTAAATCCGCCACAGATGTAATTAGTGACCTTTAGATACAACGACGAGTATGAGATCGAGTAGGAGTATGAGTTTTAAAATTGGTCCTGTACTCGTGGATAACACTAAATCATAGTCGATTTCYGATTTTTTACAATCTAAAGTTTCAATCTACCTACACTATCACAACTACAAAAAGATAGTGCCTCTCTTTAAAAGTTAAACACTTGTACTCGTACTCGTTCTCATCATCAGATCTAAAGGTCTCTATTACCAGATGACACCATACATGATAGTTCTGAGGTTACAAGTTGTATTACTTACTCTCTTAAAAGTCAACTTGTATTTTGTTTTTAGTCAAAATTCAAAGAGTGCTTATCGTTTTACACTTTCTTTAATCTCTGAATCATATCTTATATGGTGTTGTTTTTACCGAATGTATCTAGGTAGACCACAATRCRTGCTGTTTATAATACGAACCCAGAAAAGGCCTTTTGAGAGTCAGGAATTATTTCCTCCTGTCCTAACTTTCATGCAAACCTCCACTTTTATTTAAAGCAAATAAATTACTATTAAGATAAATATATAATTATAACACTTACGCACAAACATGTTTTCTCAAGTTGTCTCTAATTTGATTTTTGGACAACGATTCTGACCATTCTTGCTTGGACAGAAACGTTGCAACATAGCTTTCAACTCTCTGATTCAGCTGGCGAAATGCTTCCTAAAAAGAATAATATCATTCAATAGAATTCCTAGAATATATGCTATACTTAGATAACAAAAGCTATTGACTTTTTTCATGTCACCTACTGTAGTCAGTATTCGTAGAATAATTATTGATGCAAGATGTAAAACAAATTCATAACAAAACTCGCCATTTTATCAAGTTCTTCTAAACAATCCCTCCTCAAYTCATCAAAATTTCCTTGGGACTTCAAATGAGCAACAATTTTKGCTGTCAGGTCTCGAGATTTCTGATCAAGTTGTTGAATGAGAGCTGAGTTACTTGAACTTGAAGACGCCATCTTGAAGATTGGTGATGC